GGGGGGGGGGGGGGGGGGGTGAGCAAGGAGGGTGTGAGCCAGTCACTTCCTGACTCAGAAGCTCCCCTCCTCGAAGGTGTTCTCTCTCTTCCTCCTCCTCACCCATCCCTCCATCCTCTGCATTCAGAGCGTGTGCACTGCTCCAATCCCATTGACCCCAGCTGGCGAAGTAAGCAGTCAAAGTGTGAAGTGGGGAGCCACTGCAACTCATTGGCTGACAGTACCGCTGCGATAAGAGTGACGATAAGCTAAATAGGATAGAGCAGAGACAACAAAGAGTGTTGGGGTGACCTGGGGTCATTACAAAGAGCTCAACGTGCAAGGGAAAATGTTTGCTTCTACCGTACGGGCACACGCTGCAAGATAAGCCACATTTTTACCAACCAGTAGACTTCCATTTAGCGAACTGTGGTAAAGTTTAAAAGCGGGTTTTTCAGCTGATTCTGAACCAGAGGCCACCGTTTCAGCTAAAAAGCAATCTTGAGTCGACTGGTGTTCATGATGTGAACAGGTCTGTGTAATTTCTGGTGGTGGTGTGTTGTCTGCCTATTCTTGGCAACACTGTGGCAGATAAAGTCAGTCTCCCAACATTCTCTGGCTAAAGCCTTTCCCTTGACTTACTTTTCAGATGTGCCTCGCTTCACCGTAGCTGCAAGCTAAATTTGATCCGACAAGTTCACAAGGAGTGTTCTGCATCATACACGTCCCTCTTGACACTTTGAGTCCTTGTATTTTTCTCTTTTATCCTCTTTCATATTTCATATTCAGCTTTGTCATCACAGCCGGAGCTGCACGATATGGACAATCCTCCCGATATAAAGTAGGCCATTATACAGTATATCGTGATGGAGATACATATCATTTCTCATTTAAATTTCATTAAATAACTGGCAATGTTCTATTGTCATTTTTCCATTTCTCCGTAAAATGCACAATTTGTATAGATAATGAATGATAAAATGAATACAATATTCATTAAAAAAGACGCAAATTTTCAGTAGCCAAATAAATATCATACATACATACATACATATACACACTTGTGTGTATATGTATGTATACATACCACCAACAGCGGTAATGCACTCAAAATACAACGAAATCATGCTTGCAGCAAGAAATTTTTCACAACAGGGGACTTTTCACGATAGCAAATTTATTTCAGATGTAAGCACATACACACACACACACACACACACACGCACATAAACGTATGTGTACTCTTTATTTTTATTCCAATAGTGCATAAGTATGAGCATACATTTATTTGACACTTCATATAGCCAATGTGGAAAGAAAAAAACAGGAAAGAAATTGCGAAATTTACGATCAGCATTCAGTTTCACTTCCATCAATTTCTTCCTCCATCTTTCATTTTTATTACTTTTATCCTGTCTTCAATCGTTAAAGCTTTTCTTTTCTTCACGCCTTGGTCTGCAAAGGTCCGTTTTTGTAGCCATTTTAGCAATGCAACGTTCGTGCTGCATCTGAAACTAACAATAACAAATACTTCATGTACTACTGCGCATGTGTAAGCCACTGTGGTGTTTGCTGTTGCCATTTCCGAGCTAAGCAGTAGGAGTCGCTGTAGACTGAGGTTGGATTTGACTTTTGTGGAAGGCTTGTTTTCGGTGTAGTGAATCTCGTTGCGAGGCAAGGGCAGAGAAAAAGATTTCGTATAATGCAACAGGGGATTTTTCATTGTAGGGGGAGCAGAAAAGTGGGAATGGTTTTTATGCTTGAAGATTTTTTTCACACTAGGGGGTATTTTCGGCTATGTAAGTTTCGTTGTAGAGGAGTTTCAATGTATTTGAAAAAAGTCAACATGTTTAAAGAACGGGCAATATAGGTGCTGAGCTCTAATTTTCAGATATCACTAACGGTGGACGGAAACCTGTTTTTTCACAGCTCTATACATGTCGTCTGTCCACCATCGTGTGTTGAAATTTGTTGAAAAAGGCCTGCTCTGTCTGACCATGCATTGGATTAAAAAAAAAAAAAAAATCATTGGGATCTCCTGAAAAGTGATGTCTTGGAGGACTCCAGCGATATACAAGACGCATCAGGTGCGGGGCCAGCCAAACTATGAATAAAAAGGTACCATATATGGTTCAAAAAATGCAGTGACAACACCCCCAAACACAGAAGTGCCTACGTACTGTGAGGATAATTTCATGATTAAGTCAACAGATATCAAAATTAATGAAGGGATAAAAAGAAATTGCGGCGGAAAGGGGGCTCTGGCGATATCAAAGATAACAGGATGGCAATCGCTGACTTGGGAGTCAGAGTAATGATGTGTGTCATTATGTAATATTTTCCTTCAGGTGTAGTTACTTTGTGATATATGCATGAGTCCAGTGTTACACCTCACAAACTACTTTCATCCAGCAGACCCACCATTCAACAAGATGTCATGTTCTTGCAGTGCGAAGCAAGATCGCCTCAGATTGTAATGGTCCATTTGCTCAGGCACTAACAGTGGCTACCTAATGCATGGCCCTGTTACTGTTGAGAGCCATTTCTGTCTCGTAGCGCAACGCCAAGGATGGTTATGTGTTTGACAACACACAAGAGAACACTAGAATGCAATAAATACCCACTAAGTAAAGCTACTGTCAGGTTGGTAATGAAAAGAGGATGTCAGAAGTATCTCCGATAGCCTGCAGGTGGCACTTTGATTGGTGGCTTATCAGTTAGTAAAAAAACATGACAGCAGGCGTAAATAATTATTTTTGATATATCCTGAGAAAAAATATATATTGTAGAGCGATTTGGGGAACGTGTAAGGGATTCAATGTTACCTTGCTCCGTTTGCCATGCCACGTTCTTTGAACTTCAATTTTCGTAAACAATTCAGACATCTTCTCTTTCTTTGAAACGTAATTATGCGTTTGCCATTACTTTGAGTTTCATGTACCAGAAACAAAAGTTTTTTGTTTTTTTTTTTTACAATTTTTGGGGGGATAACATCTAGTGTGTTCATCATACAATGCATATCCTCATTTTTATATAGTCATAAATTTGTTGATGTTTGCGAATCTCACTCAGACATTCTAATTTTGCCTGCATAGCTGCTCCGGTTAACGGGGATGACTCACATGCATGTGTGGTGTCATTGATTCGCAAGCATATCTCGGGAGACACAAGCCTGTGGCATTTACTTGCTTGGTGAGGGTGTCTCTAATTGCTGCAGTACATACAGCCCTTGCGATCCATTTATCTACTTGGACTGTCGTCTCACCTGCCCTCAAATTCTATGAAGGTTTTTTTTTTTTAAGGGGGGGCGGCACTGCATAGCTACTCACACCAGGCATTGGTTATCACTGCATGGCTTCCTGCTCCTGTCTTGTCCTAATTTCTTCTATTTGCATCCCCTCCTCACACTATGACGTGCTACCCTCCTAATTCATAGGTTGAAAAACCATCCCTTATAATGCTGAATTATACAATACAATGGACCGACTAAGAACCGGGCGGGCCTGTGAATAGTGAAAATCCGTGACAACCAATGAGGTGCATCTGAAAAAATGTTTTGTTTTGTTTGAAACTCAAAACATTCTTTGAAAAATGCTGGTAAACACTCATAAGCATTCTCTACGAAAAGCAATAGAGAAATGTTATGGGTGTGAGGGCAAAAAAAAAAAAAGGGTGAAATATATTCAAATCTTTTTTTAAACCATTGAAAAGAAATCTGCAAATGCGTGGGTGCCAAAATACCACTCTACTGACAATTTATTATCACATTCCTACCAATGAAATGTGCATCTAACGCTTCTTCCAGACTTATTGGTACACACTGTGGCATTTTTCGCCCGACTGAGAGAAAATAATTTGAGAATACCGCAGAGATATACTGTAAATATATTCAAGTTAGGCTCGCTTAGTGAGTGGCAATGTATAATGGTCACTGGTGGCTTCAGTTATCGCTATGGCAAGTACGCGGCATTGTTAGTCCATTCATATCCATAGAAGTGCGCGGATGTTGCGGGCCGTGGTCCAAGGAATTCTCTGGGAGTTTGTGTAAATACTCAGCCACATGGAAAATAAGAGGGAACATTGATTGGGACACACTTCACCCTCACATTTTATGTCCTCAGAGCCAGGACGGACGCTTAGAGGTGCGCGGTCACCACGGCAAATCAGTGCTGACAATCAACAGCGTGGGGCTTGCCGACCTGGGCCGCTTTGACTGCGAGGCACTCAGCAGGATCGGAGGGCATCAGAAGAGCATGTTTCTGGATATTGAGTGTAAGTGGCTTTTTGACATTCCATTATTTCCGCCATGACTGTTTCCTGATTCAGACCGCAGTTCTCCTCCCAGTGTAGCTTTAAGTATCTCAAACATAAGCATGCTGCTGCAAACAGGAACATGTAATAACATGATGCTGGACCCACTGTGACCAACAAGACTGATGTCCACTGCGCTTAATCATGTTTTGTTCTTTCAATTCTTTCCAACAGTGTTGTTTTTGGGCAGCCTTTTTAGATTTTGTCTTAGTCTTTTGAGCAAAAATGCTTTTTAGTTTTAGTCACATTTTCGTCATTCCTACTCGAGATAGTTTTAGTCGACGAAAACTCCAAAACATTTTAGTCCAGTTTGAGTCCGTTTTAGTTAAAAATAGACATACAAGGCTTCCAGTGAATAGCAAAGACTTTCTTATCTACAAAGATTATGCCTCACACACAGATACATTGGTAACAGTGTTCATTACTCCACAATAAGACAAGAACCAAAACATTTTCTATGGCAATTGTTGTGGCTTTATTTCTGGGAACCAACCTGCTCAAGTGCAATGAACATACACATGCCCAAAATATGAGCAATGCATGAGTAGCGCTAAAAAGTATGAAACAAACATGACGCTTAAGGCAAAATAAATGAACAAAATAAGAGCAACGTTTTAACAACATAAACTAGAGGGGACTCCTATCCCTAGTGCAAATATGATGTAAAGTCCATTTCTGACAGTGTAGTTGATTTTACACTCACTGCAGCTCACAATAAATATGAAACACATTTGTGATATCGGAGACATAATTCACGCATTTCATCCCATCATCCAACTAAATAGCAGAAAATACTCCATCGCCTACTTATATTATAATTCCTAACTGTGCCTTACAACACAACAAGCTAATGAACTGACGTTCGCCATGACATTAGCTCTTTATTAGCAATGCAATTCATCACAAGCCGGTTATCGACTAACATCGAATGCGAACAAATAATGTACACAGTTACAGTACGATATGTTAACAGAACTAGTTGCGATTTACCTGCGAAAGAATATGAGCATGGAGAGCCTTCAGATGCTGCTTGAGATTGGTAGTATTGTTTCCACCACAGTGCATTACGTTCTTTCTGTTGTACAGAAAGTGTATCAATATATTTTTTCTTCGTTTCCGACCACCAAGCCCCTTTGTTTTACACTGTCGCCTTGGTCCATCACTGAAAAGAGTGTCCTTCTGTGTGACTATTGACCGCAGATGTGTTGTGTTGTCACGGTGTGTGTGTGTGGCCCCACGTGCCGGCCAGGTGGTAGGCGCGACCAAACAAAGATAGGTTGCAGCGGCATTGCTGATATTTTTTGACAGACAGATTACATGCACAATATGAAGAGCTGTCATACATTTTGAGCGTCAGAAAAACCACATACTAACGCAGTGGCCTCAAACTCTGGTCCTCGAGGGCCACTTTCCTACTTGTTTTCCGTCTCTCCCTGCTGCAACACACCTGATTCAAATGATGAGGGCCGTTATCAGTCTCTGCAGAACTTACTGATGAGCTGATCCCTCGAGGACCGGAGTTTGAGACCCGTGCGCTAAAGATTTCATCCAGTCTCGTCTCATCAACAAAAACTCACATACGTCATGTCGTATTTTTGTCATCAAAGAGCCACGTATAGATCGTCATGAAAAAAAGGGGCCTGAACGAAATAATGTTGTCATCACTTTTCAACACTGTGTTCACTAGTGTGCCGCTTTCACAGCCTCCAGGAAGGTAAATTGCTGTGCATCGTCTACCCGACACCGACTGCACCCCTGCATCAAATGTGATTCCTCCATTTCACTTCTTGTTTGGAGGTCATTCGGTGTGGGCTATCCCCAACCTAATGAGCTCTGACGCCGAGATATGAATATTGGCCTTTGAAGGATTGGGTTCATTATTCGCACTGCTTGAATGAGAGCAGAGGACATGGGGATTTGTTGGTCACGGCGCCCTGACGCTCTCAGAAACGATGAAATAAACAGCGAGGCAGATCGAGAGCAAATGAATTTACCGCATCTGATTGTCTCTCTCTTTGCTACCCACATTGCTCAGGAAAGACGGCGTTGTCGGCACCCTCATGTTGAACCACACTGCACGCATGCGTTCCATGCATCATTAGACCGTAAGTTCTGTTGCAGTGGCCTCAGCCGACAAGCGGCTCCGGCGCAGACCCGACTGAGGCAACCGCTGCCACCCGGACTAATGAACTCATTTACTAAGTCACTGCAGGCTGAGAGGGGATAACATGTCCTCGCTGGTGACGGAGAACCAGGCATCAATCTTTCTAATGGAATCCTGCGAGCAATAATAAAACTGCTATCATGACTCGACTGAAAGGAATGTGCACAAAACTGCTTCTCCCATTTGCGGGAATTGAGTGTCTGCTTCCATCCTTTATTTATTTATATATTTATATATACAGTATTTATTCTCCTGAAGACAGTTATGGTGGAGATTTCCGCCGTGAGTTTGAAGAGGCTCCAATCGGGTTCTTTTAATAATGCTCAGGGAGCTGAGTGAAATTCTTCTTTTACTTTGAGGGTTCAATCTGACCAAGTAATACCGACAGCATGTTTTTGATCGCACATGCAGCCAGCAGTGGTTACGTACTCATTGAAACATAAATGAGGCTGACCTTCACACTGTCTGTTTTTTGGACAGACATCCCAAAGTTCTTGACCAACCACACTATCTACTATTCTTGGGAGGGGAACCCTGTGAACATCAGCTGTGATGTGATGTCCAACCCGCCTGCAACGTTGCTGTGGAGGAGGGAGCACTTCACCATCTCCGCAGACGGGACCATCAACATGCGGGTGCACAACGGCATGGGCAAGTCTCTACTAGAGGTGTGACCAAAGAAGCATGAGCACACGGATGCACGACTTTTTCGTTGTCGTTTCATGTTTGCTTTCTGTTTCCGTCAGCATCAAAATTCCCTTTTTTTTTTTCAGGTTACTCCAATGTCCGACAGGGACTTTGGTCGTTACAACTGCACTGCCCGCAATAACATTGGCATTCGATACCAGGAATTCATTCTGGCCCAGGCAGGTGAGTGTGAGCCGAGGCCTGCAAAGAAGTTCAGAATGTGCAAAGTTGGCCAGCTCACATATGGAACTTCACAGCTGTATAAGTACTTTGCAACCCCTGCCTCGCTGCTAATTGTAATGGCTCAATTTGCAATTACCATAAAGTTCCATGACCACTTCTATTCACAATATCCTAATCTCATACAAAGCCATCTGATTTGCCATTCTCTTCGCTATTTATGCAAGTGGACCCTAATTTACTGTAGTGCAGGCTCATACATGATTGCGCCTTCCAATTATCTTGAGTGCAGATTGAATCACCCGGAATAGCAGAAGTAATGAATAAAAGCTGACCTCACATGTGGTCTTGCAGCAAACAAGGTGCTTTGGAAGGCTACTAAGAAAACACGATTACAACAGTTATGAGACAAGACAGGTTGTTTATTCAAGACCATAAGATTTTGAGGTCGTGTCATTTCCAGATGTGCCATCCAATCCGTACTCGGTACGCCTGTCAGCCATCTCCCAGCGTTTGGCTACCGTCACATTCATGAAGCCGGACTCCCATGGCGGCGTGCCCATCGGCTATTACCTGGTCCAGTACAAGGAGGTGGGCCCGCAGGACTGGAAGGATGCCAGATCACATAGTGTGCAGAGTGAGTATTCAGTGGAGCACTGAAACAAACAAAGTATGGAAAAAAGTATTGAGATGCCGATGCAGAGCACGTCATGGAAGAAAATGCAACGTTGTTCCCTCTATTCATCTCGTACACGTGTCAAACTCAAGGCCTGGCGGCCACATCTGACCCGCCACATCTTTTTACTTGGCCCGCAAAAACAAACCATATGCATCGACTTCATGTTTCTTGCTAAATTATTAAAACTACAAATTGTCTTCACTTTTTAAAAACATTGAGATAGTCTAAGGTTTTTCTTTTTTGTTACCACTCCCCCCTTTTTATAGAAATTCATGCCTAATCATATTTGAACAAACTGTTTTTACTGGCTTCTGATTTCAAAACTATAGTTATTTTCAGTTTGTCATTGTTGGGGGAAGAGCGGCCTCCTCTTTCCCGCGTGTTCGTTGAATTTCGGACGAGGAGAATGTTGGTAATCCAAATAAAGGCTGGAAGCGATGTACAGTTCCTTCGAAGGGTTTTAATTTATTTTCTGCAGTTTACGAATCGATTCGGGCTCCTGAGGGGTCCAGATTTCAATCAGGAAGCGTAAAAGAAACACATTCATGAGACTATATAGAGACAATATGATAATGAGAGGCGGGGAGGTACGCCTCTCATGCAAATCCCAGAAACAAAGAAAGTAACATGTCATCTGACCCGGTGTGGCTGGAAGAAGTTAGAATACAGACTTCATCATGTATATGTAATGTGAGGCTTTTTTTCAGCAAAGTATTCTCGCCCAGCTCCAAGCTGATTAACTGATTGAGCTGTGTTTTCCAAGATCTTTGTCCTTACTGAACTCACTGTCATCCTTTACAGTCAATAGCATGGCGTCGCTCAAATAAATAACACCACAGCATAAAAGAGGACAAATAAGGTGATTTGAAGTCGAATGTAGTGTTTCTTGTTTTGTTTTTTTTTAATAATTAAGGCTGAAAATATTTTTGTGCACTTACCTAATTAAAATCTAGCGTGTGGCACTTGAGAAACCCCTTTCCCAGTTGATAATGCTAAAACATAATTAGATGGTTGGACTCTTTACATTGCAATGCTTTTGTGCAAATTGAAGTCTGTGCTCAAACTAAACAAACCCAGCGTGGCTGCAAATTGCCGACTTTGTTACAGGGCTGAAGTGGTGCACAAGCTCCTATTACAGAGTATTTAATTTGCTCTGACTGACAAAACAACATGGCGAGCTCATTACGTTGTTGGCTTTTCAGCGCAAGGAAGGTTATGTAAATGCATACGAGTGACAGACTGCGCTCTGATATTGAGATGCTCTGTTTACACTCCATTTTTAATATGCAGTGCGTGCACAGGGAGAAGAGCAACAAATGAGCAGATATTGAGCAATTGGCTGAATCCGGATCAAGCTTGTGAATATTTATGAGCAGACGTGTTCTCTCCAGGAAAAGTTGTACGCTCATGTTTGTGGTCACCATGCGAGTGACGCTTCTCTGTCTCACCAGCAACGGTGGTGCTGACCGGCCTGGAGCCCAATACAACGTACGAGGTTCAAGTGGCAGCCGTCAATGGGAAGGGTCAGGGCGAGTTCAGTCACATGGAGACCTTCCAGACTTTACCCATCAGTAAGTCTCTCACTACCAAGATTTTTTCACGTCGACCAAATTTGTCTTGATGGACTGCAGGTTCATTTTTTTAATTAATTTGTTAGTTAATTGTTTTATAATTCACACTATTTGCCAAGCTCAAGTTGCCTTGTGTTGAGCAGGAAATACCTTCAACAGCATTCTACATTGTTTCTTTCAAGTGTCTGAACAAACACAACTAACAGAGAGGAATAACACCTTAACCATCAAATCTAACTAAGAAGAGAGGAATAATACAAGAGTATTCCAATTCTAGGAGATGATTGTTACAAGGACGCCAAGCTACGCTGTGGGCATGGGAAGGTTATACAGCATGACTAAATATGAGTAGAATACAGACTTCATCATGTATATGTAATGTGAGGCTTTTTTTCAGCAAAGTATTCTCGCCCAGCTCCAAGCTGATTAACTGATTGAGCTGTGTTTTCCAAGATCTTTGTCCTTACTGAACTCACTGCCATCCTTTACAGTCAATAGCACGGCGTAACTCAAATAAATAACACCACAGCATAAAAGAGGACACATAAGGTGGTTTGAAGTCGAATTTAGTGTTTCTTGTTTTGTTTTTTTTTTAATAATTAAGGCTGAAAATACTTTTGTGCACTTACATAATTAAAATCTAGCGCGTGGCATTCGAGAAACCCCTTTCACAGTTGATAATGCTAAAAGATAATTAGATGGTTGGACTCTTTACATTGCAATGCTTTTGTGCAAATTGAAGTCTGTGCTCAAACTAAACAAACCCAGCGTGGCTGCAAATTGCCGACTTTAAAGGCGCTTATAAATGTAATGTATTATTATTATTATTATTATTATTATAAGTTGCCTTGTGTGAATGCACACCAAAAATGATTGCACTCCATGGCGTCCTCATTTTAGGTGGTTCCAGACATACGACATTTCACGGTTATGAATGACGCTAGTTTGTGCAATTGATGACACAAGAAGACACGCACATTACAGCCAAACATACCGGTACTGTTTTTAATTTAGTCGGCCTCGCAGTGATTTTCATACATATTGACTGACTTAACTGCTGCATGAGCATAAATTAGAGACTTAGCACATTCCAATTTATAAACAATTTGGGTTACAGGGGAGTTAGTCCCCCTCTTAATTCTTTTAAACTATCATTATAACTTAGCAAATCAGCCACCATAGGGCCTCATCTTTGCGCCTCTACTTTGAGGAAAAGGATGTGTCGTTTTGACTTTTGGTCCCCCTCCTCTCCCTGTGTGTCCCTCAGGAGAACCGAGCCCACCGGCAGTCCATGGGCAGAGAGGACTGGGGAAAGCCTATAAGCTGGGGCTGATCAAGCAGGATGACGGAGGAATGCCTATTGTGGAATACATAATCAAATACAAGACAGTGAGTGACAGCATATTTTCCCCATCATTTACACAAATTCCCATCGATTTTACTTCATATCGGTCGGTCTTTGTTGCATTCCAGGACAAAGAGGAGCAATGGATGACCAAACTCATTCCGGGCTCCAATGACTTAGCGACTCTGCAGCCACTGCAGTGGAACACGCGATACGAAGTAGAGATTACAGCCCGCAATGTGAAGGGCCTGTCAGAGCCCACCTTCTACCAGTTCTTTATGCCACAAAAGCCTGACATCACAGGTAAAAGCCCTGTAATGTTGTCCATTTTGTAGACTTGCACTCAAAATCCATGTTCGCTATTTGTTTACCAATTAACCAGTGAGTCAAGACAAATTTGTTAGTAATTGTACAATTTCCAAAAAACACTTAATAGCCCAAAAAAATGACAAATCCAATTCGATCGTAATGTAAATAATAAGTATTTTATAAGCCTCATATTTACTTTTTTGAAAACATTCGGAGCATATACTGACACGCTAACAGAGCCACGTCAGCCTCCAGAAAGGTAATTTTTAGTTTACAAAAACTTACTTTACCCCCCAGGAAGTGAGGGTGTTCTTTATTCAATCCATCATGTTAAATCCATCTGCTTCTTACACTGTAGCAGCTCCTAGCTAGCGCGAAGCTAGCCTGGGTTTTTTCATCTCCAGCATGGCATCAAAGTTTGCAAATTCCCTTGCTAGGATGACGGGAGAGGTCAACAGCGAGTAAACAAAGGCTTTAATAGACTGCCTTGCTGGGCTTTATTGCCAGCTTGCTAAAAGTTTATTTTAATGCTCATTTGCACGCAGCACATTTTCACACATAACGTGCTCTCTCCACATACATACTAGTTCTGTGGTTTCCTGTGATCTGGGGCAGCCGTGATGGGAGAAGGAGGGAAGACTTTGGAGGGCTAGAGAGAGGGAAGGGAGAAATTAAACTGTAGACTAAGCTATGCACCGGTTAGCGTTGTTGTTTTGGTTAGGCCAACAGTCATGCTTTTTGTTCTCATTTAAGAATTTGTTGCCCGCTTGCCGCTTGGCCTGATTCATTCTGTAACGCTACAATACATCACACATACTGCGACATGAGTGTTGCCACCCAAACATTACTCTGTGGCAGTGGTTCTTAACCTTGTGAGAGGTACCGAACCCAACCAGTTCATATGCACATTCACCGAACCCTTACTGAAAAATAAAAATCGGATTCAAGAAGTGTTCCTTCAGTTTAGCCGGTGTGAGACTACAGTTGCTCAACTTGGCATGAAAATTATGCAGATAGGACGCTGAGTCGCGTTCTGTGATGCATGTTGTACATATTCATCTGACCACTTTCTTTTTTTTTGCTCGACATAGTTGGCATGTGTTAAAACATTCTTGGAAAAAAAACAAATAATCACACGAGGTATGATCACGACCGTCACATGCTGACGACTGAGCGAACTAAATTTCCTGCAGCACTGACTGGACAAGCAATGTAATGTGATCGTCTACAGTCAGTGATGACCTAGCGGGCGTGTCATAACTAATTTATGTTGAGTCGGGTGTACCTTAACCTCCATGGCAGAGGCTCCGTCGAACCCCTGAGATCGATTCAACGAACCCCTGGGGCATGTAAATCATGTAAAAAAGCGACCAATAGGTGGCAGTGGTGCCTCACGTGCTTGAAATGCATGCTTTTACAAAAAGCTCTTTTTCTCCATTTTTTTGCCCAGGAATCGCCATTTTCATGAAACTTAGCCATTTTGTAATGCCGATTGCTGAAGAATGGAAAAAGATAGAAACAATGTTTTTTTTCTGCTGAAAGAAGAGAGTCCAAACTTTATTTTGGTAGTCTCCATGTTTATATAGCATTAGAACCAAATATTCTGTGGGCCTTGCAAGATCAGTCAAAATCCAGTAAAACGCTGGGATTGAGGGGGTTGCTCCAGTGAAAATGGCTGGGATTGAATGAGTTAAGGGCCAATAAGTTAAGGGATTCTCTCTTCGAGCCCCCACCCATGTAGCCCTAGTGTTTTGACATGCGGGTGGGAAACTTGTGGGTGGCCTTGACTTTTACAAACTGGATGTGCAGAAAAATTTCTCATTTCCAAGTCCTCCAGCTAGTTTGGAGCCACACGCATACAAATGCGCACATGTATGCAGAAATGCAGACAGATGCTTTGATGTGTGCGCCACGTGGTGCTTTGAAGTATGTCATGCTCTTGCTCTTTCTCACCCCACTGCCAGAAATATATATTGTTGAAATAAAAATGTAATTCCATTACCGCCCCCCCTGTGAGCACCACCAACAAAAACCCTCCCAGAGGAGTCCTGCTTTTCTTCCCGGAGTCTATTTGTGATGGCTTGGAATATATCCAGCCAATGTTTTTCTGTTCCAGCTAAATGGCCAGCAAGCATGCGCGCTGCCTCACAAGCAGATTGGAAGACCTGGGAAGCTTTGGGCTTAAGGCGGGTCTTCGATTGACTGTCCTCTCTTGTTAGGTGCATCGTGGGAACGGGCACGGGAGCAAAGCAAAGATGTCAGGGAGGAGAGTGGAAGATTTCTCTAAATGTGAACATTAGACAAACAGTAAACCTGGATGAAGGTTTGTGCTAAGAAGGCAATAAAAATGTGTAAAACAGGAGGGACCACTCTTCCCTCCTTCATGATCAGAACCACTGGTTACATTACGTTGAAAGCCTTAAAGTAAATTCAATTCTTATTGCAGAAGCGTACTCTCATCCTGAAAGTTTTAGCAACGGTTCACCAGTAAGAAAATCAAAATCAACATCCTATTTGGATGTAGCAGCTGTAATGCACAGCCATGTTAACACTGAAACGACTCACTTCTCAAAGTAGACGCTCGACACTCGGCAACATAACACGACGATACACAGCGACGATATACCCATTTTACACGTAACTTTGATTCGACAATGAAATATAAAATACTGAAAGCATATAACAATATTTTAAGGCTGCTTTGCAAGGTTAACCCACCCGAAAAACAGGTCGACACACCGAATGGGCATCACACTTGACAGTCAGAAGTTGGGGAAAAAAGTAAAAGGTATGTGAGGAGTGACGAAAGTGATGAAAATGTCAAAAGTATAGTTTTGCTCTGAGATACAAGTGACCTGACCAACAAATCTTTGGAGGAAAAAGCTGTCACTCTGTTGTTGTTAGTTATTTATTTATCTATCCATACTACTAGTGAGTGTCAGAGTCACATGGTCTGGAGTTCTAAGGGCCGATATGGAAGTTGACAGTACTCAGTAAAATTGTTCATTCAGGAGTGGTTGTGTAAGAAGTTGGTGATGAATTCAAAGTGCTCATTAAAGGTGCGGTGGGGGGGAGCAAACCAGATATTTGCCCTTTCATAGCATTTTGTTCCTTAGGTTTGCTCTTGAGTGCACTTTAGTTGCATCAGGGCTCGCTGAATCCTGCTTAAATCTGGTCCAAAAGGAGATTGTCCCTCTGTTAATGATCCTTTTAAAAGCTCTCAGGGCAACTTTGATTTCCGCAGAACGTCCCAACACTTACGGAGAATCCTCTTTCACGTCCTCAAACGATTCTGTTTTATCCCTCTGAAGATTAGCATCTGCTGCCTCCCTGATCAATTAATGGCCATTCGGTCATCGTTAATGGACTCGCTTCCTTTCAGACCCTTCCAGTCACCGTCAGTTGGTGGCGAGGCATAATGAGTCTGCGTTGTCAGGGTTGGACAGGTATGGACTTGTTTGGATACCGAGGAATAGATAGACACGGCACTGGGCGCCATATTTCAGAAAGTAATCAGGAGTCTTAGTCAGATTGAGGGTTAATAGAGCATGGAAATAAAAATTAATGTGCATGGTGTTTTAGGAATTAGATCATGTGTGAAAACTCACTCACAACCGATTAGTTAGGCCGGAGATTCTCAGGAGAAAGATAAATGAATAACAGTGGACTAATGCCCAAATGCCACAGACGTTCGCATTCGTTTTGCCTGCCACAGGTGAACATGTAAACAAATAGCAGGTAAAAGGCCACGTTAGCACCAGCCACTTCTGTGTTGCTTAGCAACTATAATCAGAGTTAAGTAATTAATAGGCAAGTGACTTAGACCCAAGTGATGAGGATTTAGCTGCGATTAACATTGTTCCTTGCATTTGTACACATTCACACATGATGAAAACACACCGCGAAAGAAATGCAATGTAGTGCTTCAAGTGTTTAGAATCCAAAAAAGATTTCTCTGGTTTGACCCAAGACAAGCAAAACACATCGCAAAGTATTCAAGCGCCGCCGGCACTTGTTCACCCTGACCTGTGGGTCCCTGTGTAGCCCAAAACATCCTCCTACAGGAATGAACTTTACATCTAATTGTGTGCACGTCGCCACTCAGTGCAATTCCAGCTAGGAATGTGAATTCAGAATGCAGTGTAAAATGTATGTCCAGCCACATGCGGTTGTTAATGTTTTAACAGATTTTTCATTCAAAGGGCAATTAACAGTTTTATTTGAGCTAACCTCATTTTTACACCTTGATTATTTCCTTGGGGGCCTTTATGGTAAATACAAGTGTGTTTTAATAATTTAGGACGGAAAACGTTTTTTTTTTTTTTTTTTTTTTGGGTTCTTCGATGAAAAACAGTGAAGCCCATTTATTGAATATGAAGATTTTGGGAACAATTATGAAGACATTGGACACAAATCTATATAATACGAGTTTTGCCAAACACAGTAAACATAAAGCAGTGTTGTGTACCCTTCCCTGCCACAGACCTCAATGACGTGCGTCACCAATCACCACGCTGTGAGTGCGTGTGTGCTGGTTGTTTTTCTTTCTTCGTTTTTTTCTTTACTCGCCTGCATTTCGGCTTGGGCGGCACCTGCGTGTCGCCGACAGGGGACGGAGTGGACTCACGTGCCTCTGCTTGACACTGACAGAAACAGTGACGGACTGACAGAATGCCCAACCTTGTGTGAATTACTGAAAGAGAGAAATCTTTCTATGATATTCCAGTTCATTGAGAGGCTCCTGTGATTCATGAACGATTTGTCCAGTGTTATATTTTGGTCCTCTACAGCCATGCATTTTTACAACCATCAAATGAAAGGAGTGCTCCTTCAAGGCTATTTTGAAAACAAGAAATGTCCTCACCCCTTGCCTCCATTGTCATTGTGATTGTGACGATTGACACAGTCCATAAAATAAGGGCTAGAGTTCTGTGTCTTCAGAATAATATGACTCAAATAAAAATACAAATTAATTCACCGAGTAATGACTTGAGTAGGAGTTATATTCTGGGGGAAAAAAACTCAAGTACTGGGAGTAACTTTTTTTAATCAATAAGATCATGAACATTAAATCGACAAAGATATAATTAAAAAAAAACAAAAAACGTCCAGATTCAGATAATGCCCAACAATAATATGAATCAAAACAATAATGAAATGAATTGTTTTAAAATATCAAGTCAATTATAAAGTAACAAATTAAATTCAACCATTGGAAATGGTCTTCAAACAAGTTTTTGTTTGCACTTGTGAAACAATCTCAGGTCGAAGTAAAGTTTTTGTAGGCTGAAATGTGGACATTTTAGCCAGAAAGATGACAGCACATGACATTGCTGTTCTTTTTTTCATCGCCTGTAAATACACAGATTATATGTGAGTCCAGGGCTGTTGTGACTCTCTGCCTGCCCTTTGTTTGGCAACATGTGACCGCCTGGCTTTATTTGACTGATGAAATGGAGTCAATCGTCAGAAGTACTCATATTGGACTGGTCTAACAGACTCGTGTGACGGGAGTTCTATCTGATAAACCATAACTAATAGATCACGCAAGTAATACATGATAAAAAGTAAAAGTACAGCGCATAATGTAGCATAATGTAAAAGTAGTGTTTTCAAGAAGCCCAAAGTAAAAGCCAAAAGTATGTTGCTGTAAAACTCTTCTCCAACTTGTTTCGAATGTGGGCTGCGTGAAATTATTAGTTTTAGTTTCAGTTTATTAGCATGTCACCACTGTGATTGGATGAGCTGCCTTGTCCTTCAACCAGACCCTCTCTCACCAGGCTTCCCAGCCAGTCAATCAATCAATCAATCTTTATCTATATAGCACTTTTCATCCCAAAACATGCAACCCAAAGTGCTTTACATGAGTTAAAACACCATCTGAAGGAGTCCGTCTGCGCCAGGACTGGAAAGTAGACAGACAGTGGCCACATGCCATCGACAAGGATCCCCCGGTGTAGCAACACACCAAGGACCTGCACACACGGCAATCAGGGACCCCACGGGACAAGACCACGACCCACAGCAGCTCCCGCCGCAGAGAGCTCCCTCTGAGGAAACAGAGAAAAAAATATATATAATAGTGTGACTGAACAACAATTTAAAAACCGAGCGGCACTAAATCGACATTGTCAACTGCTGACCTCTTGCGCCATCTCACAGTGCTTTGTCTGTGTTGTGCGAGCAGAATCCCTCTTCAACGGCCTGGGCCTCGGGGCTGTGGTGGGCCTTGGCCTCGGGGCACTTCTCCTGCTGCTTGTCCTGGTGGATATCAGCTGCTTCTTCCTGCGGCACTGCGGCCTGCTGATGTGCATCACACGCACACTGTGCAGCAAAAATACAGTCACCGGTGGCAAAGGCAAAGAAATGGAGGAGGGCAAGGCCGCCTACCTGTGAGTGTATTTTTCTTTCTCACAGGGTGGCGACTCAGGGTTGTATCAATGTCAACGACTCATTCATGCTTGCAGAGGGAGCATCTGCTGTGGGTGTCACGGCCTTTGGGTCACAACCTGAACTTTAGGGGTTATTTTTCAAATGAGCACACGTCTTGAGTGACCTGCTTTAAAAAGTGAAACCAATCAAATCCTTCTGTGAAGCGCTCAACTTTTCAAAGCAATCTGGCTAGCCGGTGAAATTTCATTGTTTTGTACAAGCTCTATTTTTGAGGGAATGAGAAAAAAAGCCTTCTTTTTGCCGTCTAGGTGCACCTACAACAGCCGCCTGACCACCTTTTCAACCACAGTATGTCTCTGATAATGTCTTTTTCACTCAGATCTCATCGTGTGTGTGTGGGTGCGTGCGTGTCCAGTTTGCATGTACATGTTCACATCGGTCGCTCATCAAGCAGTCTGTTTGATCATTTGACTCCACCGTAATCTATTTCTTCGGCTTTCATTATTCAATTACGGGCGTAATTGTGCATGTTTCAAAAAGGCTGACTTTCATGCTATTTTTCTACATGTCATTCAGTTTTTTGTGTAATGAACAAAAAACTACTGTACATTGCTACAGTGGCTTTATGGGAACTTTTGTTTGCAATCTTGGCTCTGCTTCAGGTTTAACACCGTCGCGCATCATGTGAAAAAGTAGGATAAGTCACAGTGTAATAAGTAGTTGTGTCCTTTCGTATTTATGTGCAACATAGAACTTGATTGAGGAATGCCACTCCGCTGACGGATCCTATATTTGCATCACTAATGAATCAATGTGGACAAAGCACGAACCAAAGAAGGATACGAGAGGTTACACCGCCAGTCCAATCGCCGTGCGCATGAGCTAATGAAACATGAAATTGCTTCCACTGTGCGGCAACGTTAATATCCTCCAATCAAGCGCTGAGGAACTCCCTGAGGCCGACTGGCAATTGTGCTTATTAGACACCCTCCCCCCCCACCGCCGCCGCCACCACCACTCCTATACAGTATTGTCACTTTTCTTGTTTCAAGGAAGTTTGTGACACGCATTAATAATAATGTATTTGGAGAACGTGAACATATGATAAAACACTGGCCATTTCATTAGGTACGATCTAATGAGTGCCAATACTTTGTTGTGGATGCATCAATTCTGCTTTCACAACGGTAACACTCAGTTATGATGGACACTGCCAGGCAAATATTTCTTTACAAATGTGTTCTTTATTTGGTTGTAGTTTCAACTGGTGTAGAACTGAATGCACCACATTGAAAGTTACGCCCAATATGGACCGACTCACAGGGGTCGCACAACTAGTCATTTCGGGGAGCTCCAAGCCAAAACCAGGCACGGGGTTCTTCACGGGTGTGTGTATACTGCATAGAGCAAAAGTTATATTTCATTTCAGCACAAATGTCTTTAGAAATGGGTAGTAGAATACAGGTGGTAGAATACTCACAAACCTGAGTGGGAAGCTAAACCTTGCTGCTGCGAATATGATATTTGCTTTTATGTATAGTTTGAAGAGATGGAAAGGCGAGGCAGCTTTATTTACAGAGCACATTTCATGCATAAGCACACAATGAGCTTCACATAGTTAGAAAACAAAATTTAAAGACAAACAATTTCAATACTTTCAATAGCAAAGTAGAGAAATAAAAAGTAGAAAAAAATCTCAAAGAACGTACAGAGCAAGGGCATTATTTTGGGCAAATTGATTATAGAAATGCTCAAACAGACCTCAATCATACTTATGGAGTGGGTGAAGGGCTTCATAGTTTTGAACCTGGACTTAAAAGCATTTACCCTTGGGGCTAACTTCTGTTCTTTTGAATGCTCATTCCTTTTGTGTGTAGCATAACAGCTCAATGCTGCTTCACCATGTTTGCTTTGAACTTTGGGCACCACTGATTGACCCGAGTCTGCTGACCCCAGAATCTTATACCCGGTTTCTAATCCAGGAGTATTTCTTTCATGTATTCAAGACCGAAGTCACTGAGTGATTTATTGACCATCGCAGAATTTTAAAATCCATCCTACAGCTGACTGAGAGCCAGTGTTAAGTGTTTCGGACAAGAGTGATATGTTCTGACCTCTTTGTTCTGCTCAAAACACGAGCTGCAGCATTTGATGCTCTCCTGCCTGAGGGTGTCCAATAAAGAAAACTGTTCCAATAATCAAGTCCACTTGAGAAAAAAGCATGGTCACTCTTGGTATGCTTGGAGCATGACACCCTTCAGTCTGTATACGTTTTTCAGTTGGTAATAGCCTGTTTTAGTGTTTCATTTGATCTCACTGCTAAAAGTCAGAGCCGAATCAATCAGCACATCAAGGTTTCAGACTTGGTCTTTAGTCTTTCAAAAGAGTGACTCAAAAGTGTTTCCTAAGAGCAATCCTCTTTACTTTATTGACAAAAACAATTACCTCAGTTTTGTTTTGGTCAAATTGACGAACATTTTTGTTTCATTCTGTTAGTAATTTGTTTTAGACAGTGACACAGCACCTTAACTGACCTGTTGTCACTTGGGTACAAGGTTGACAGGTGTAGCTCCATATCATCTGGATAGCCATGATAGCCAACATTGGCGTGTTGAAGATTTTGACCCAAGGGTAACATATACAGGCTAACCAAGAAAGGGTTCAATGACTAGCCCATGAGGGACCCCGCATGTCATGGCCATTCGATCATATTTAAAACTTCCAAAGCCACGAAATAAATCCTTTCCTTCAAGAGGGACCTGAACCATTTTAGGACTCTTCCAGTTTGTCGAAGGTTCTTTAGCAAACTTATCCAAATTGTTGTCCACATGGATGTTAAAGTCTTCTGTTATGACCCATAGGTAATGACAGCATAAACCTTTTTTTGCCGATGTGTTCATGAAACAATGACACGGCAGCTTCATTGAACTGTTGTCACTTGGGGACATCGATAGATACATCTGCGCATTATCTGCAAAGCCATGCTGACTGACAGTCCATTTTAGGATTCTGTCTGTCCGAGCAGAAGAATGAATGTGAACTTTTCACATGCGCTTCCATCAGTGCTGTGTTCTCATTTCAATTAAGTGAGCCTCCTCCGGCCATTTTCCATTGATTCCTGTCTGTGACTCATGCGACCATGCGTCTCATGAACATCCTCCTTGCCTGCGCAAATCATTTCCGTCTTCCCATCACACTCTTAGTTTATGCTCACTGGCACTTCTGTCACCTGCACGCTGTGCTCTCAACTTGCAGGAAACTGCCGCTGAAGGAGGAAAATGGCAAAGAGTCTCTCAAGCCGGATACGATTGAAATCAAATTGCAGGGCGACCACAGCATCCACGCAAAGCCGGAAGACAGCAAAGCATAAAAGGGGGCTCCCTCTTTTGTGCCCACAAGAAAATTCGGATCACGAGACCAAAACCTAGAGAACCTACAGCAATCGAGCATAGTGGAGAGAAATATGAGTGAGAGGCATGTGTAAATAGAAATACTAGATTGAAGCGTGGGTGCTGACATGACATCAGTGAAAAATGATTGTATATTTCTTGTTTTGTTGTGTCTGGTTATGATTCACATGATGCTTTTTTTAAGAGTCCCCCTCACCCTCCAGCGCCATCCCACAGGGTGTTTCATACCCAAAGAAACCACAGTTCAGTCATAACCACCCCCCACCCCCATCACCTCAGCTGACCTCTCACCGTCACACTTGGGGGCAATTCTAGCAACACAAGCTCACACTACTAACACGCACATCCCGGTATACCGATGATGTCAACCTCTTAATTTGCCTGTCTTAGCCGGGCCAGGCCAGGCGAGGTTATTAGCTTCAGTAAGGAACGTTAAACCTATTTTCTACAGAACAGTCCTCAAAAAGGGTAAAGCGTTGTGTGTTGCCAGAGGGGGAAGAAAAAGCATCTCAATAGCATTAAAAAAAAAGGACAAAAAAAAAAAGAATATTGTGTCAAGTAGCATATGTGCGTTGAGTTTATTGTTTTAACAAAGTATTTTAAAAAAGTATTGACAATGAGTATTGCTGCCACTTTTGTCATCTCGTGTCATCTCTCATCATACAGCTGGATGTTTTTTTTTTTTTGTTTTTTTCCTTTTTATGTCGGTCTCCTCCTGGGAGCTTGAACTGTGAATGTTTTGATCGATCAAAGCTTTTTGTTGGAAGAACTGAAATGCAGGGAACCTCGGAATGGAGACACAAGTCAACATTTACTTTGATGTCTTTGCGCCCTGTGCCTCTGATGTCTCCTTAATATTTTTCCTTTGTCGGTCTGCTCGCTGACATTGTCATGTGTTGTACATAGGTGAGAAAAAAATATTTTGCAGAGCTTTTATGTAAATACACCACAAAGGATGTGACTTTTTTTTTTTCAAAAGGCAGATTCTTATTTTTGTCATGTTGTATTTGGTCCAAAGTTTAGTGCTCGTTCAACTTTGATTGTCAAGTCAAATCAGCAGCCGAAAGCAAATTTCAATTGAAGAAAGTAATAACATCTGTTCCCTCCCGTAGTGTCAGTACACACTTCTGGATCATGTTTGTATTTCTTTGGGAGCTGAATGTTTTTGCGCTGCTGTGAACTGTGGAAAATGTACTAAACAATGACAAGAACATCAGCACAACTGCACGCTGATGGGGTGATTATTCATGCTGACATATGAGGTGGTGTCACAAAAACATTCCAAATCCAAGCTACAAATTTCCCCTCAAAAATTTGAAATGCACCTTCCCAGCCTTGTCTGTTATTCCTTCATGCACTCCTGGAAAGATTCTTCCAGGATCCTCAGCAGTGCCGTCATCACAGCCATCTTGATGTCGTCCGCATCCTCAAGCATCTTGATGACCCCCTTGAGCTCGAGAACACGGGCGGGGGAGGTTGCAAGGTCAGAAGGAAGAAACTGTCAGATGCTCAGGGTATTGTGAGCAGCCGTGTGGTCAGACCGAAGCAGCCATTAGTTGTCTGGCCTTGAATAAAGCACAGCAGGATCTCTTTGTGGACATGCTGTTGATCGTCTGGACTACATTGAAAGAGAAAACTTGTACTTTGGGTTCGGAGATCGCTTTTGTGACACCAATCCGAGAGCTTTTCCGACACACCGCATACAGCTCAATGCATTTATTATCAACTGTGTTTTGTACGTGCGGAAGCAGATGAATAATCTCCATGCACTGGGTTGCATGTCTGTCTATTGCATCTGCATGCCCTTCGGAACGCTCCTAATTTCAAAACTAAATTGAACTTAATCTTTGGCAACTGATTCTGTTTTGTTGTGTTTTTTTTGTTTGTTTTTCTGCTGTATTTTTGAGTTGAAGCATGGTGAGATGACCATGACCTCCCATGAATGTGACTCGCCGAATATTCACTCATGGACAGTAATTCACTTTCACAGGCTGCAGCGCTTAAGTGACTGCCAGCACAACAACACTCGCCACCCCGACTATTTTTTTTTTTTTTTAATGTCCGAACATGGTTTCTCACAGAAAGCCAATGCACCTGAATCTTAAGGACGGTCCATGTCGTGGTTCCTCTGCCTATCACGCTGACTGTAAATTGCGAGTGAACAGTGCCTAGCTGGTGTTACGATTTGTACGTGTTCTTTTTGTATTTGATGTCGGAAATTTACTCTTCATTCCTCCTGTGACCAGTCCACCATGTCCTCTTCTGTCGAGGGCGGGCAGGGTGTTCAATGGGTGCGTGTGATCTCAGTGTACAGTGCGTGTCCTCTTTGTTCCCAAATCTTTTGCACCCTTTTGGACCTTCCCTGCTGAGTGTGCTTTTGTGCAGGAAGTGGGAATATTGATGTCTCTCTCTATGTACCTGTGCAACACTTGTGTCATTTGCAGCTGTGAATAAACATGTCCTGGTAGAAGAGACCATGTTTTGAGATGTGACTCTTTCTCTCAGGTGTTTCAAGGACAACGACATGGAAGCCAACACGGCAACACGCACCACAGCCCTTGCCTTTTTCTTCTCATTTTTTTTTTTTTTAAACCGGTCAGCAGACAATTGTGTTGCTCTCTTCGCCGGAGGGCAAAGTGCTATTTTCATCAGGGTCATTCCCAAGCAACCATTATTTCAAACAGAAGCTGTGTTGCATCTAAATTGATGCTTCCCGCCTGGATGACAAATCCAAGTGAAGCATGAGCGCCAAGTGAAATGAAATGGAAAGGAAGTAAAATGGAGCTATTTGACACTATTTTAATGGTGTTCTTTGTGTGGCATTGTTTTAACAATACACATTTGAGTGCCATCATGCAACAAGTGGAATACTGTGTACTGAATGTGACAATGGAACGTAACATCATTTTAAAGTTATCATTAAAAAAATAATAACACAATAAAATAAGGGCCTGAGTCTGAATAAAAATCAGTTTTTATCCCTTTTTTAAAAAAGAACAGCGAAGGTGCTTGTCTAATGTGCACCGGCAGGTCATTCCATATTTTGGGACCAGTAATAGAAAAAGAAAACCTCATGTTCTTAAATCTATGACAGATCCCACACATCTTAAAGAAAAGGAAAAAAAGTTGGGCATATAAGAGTTTGAGCGGTATTGTGTGTGTGGTTTGCTCTCGTAACGTCAACACCGTGCACCATACACAAGCGCCACTCATCTTGAAACAACTGCTCCAAAGTGGAAATCTCGCCTTGATGACACGTGAGCTCTCAAAAACCAAAAAGAAGAGTCAGACAATGCTGAGATACGAGCCTATGTTACCCAAGTGTTTACAAAAAGGGATCGTTGTAAAGGCCGTATCTCACTGAGCAGCGAAGCTTTGCAAATGTTTATTTTTCGTCAGGGTTTGTTCAAGGTTGCAAACGATCATAAAGTTACTCCACAATCATTTCAATGGTCTCAATCAGTTTGTTTGGAATCATTAAAACTGTCTGGGAATGTCTGGCGATCATCTTTGCAACAATGAATAAACCCTGACCAAAAAAATGTTTTTTAAACATTCACTACAAACAAAAAAGAACTAGTGTTGAAATCAAAGGCCAGTGAAAACTGAGGATTGGTAACAAAAAAATATCAAAAGACAATTTGCAATTTTGGTATTTCAGCAAAAAACATCAAGTTTGACACCTGTGATTTAGAAATTTGAAAACAAATAGTAGAATCTTAATATTATCAATGATCAGCACAAGCAACCAGTGGAGGGATGTGTTCCTTTTAAGATAAGCCAAAAGAAAAATCAATAAAGGCTAATAACAAGGGGTACAGACAACGACCACATGAAGACCGAAAACAAAGTCCAAACTCTTACGTCCGAGGGCCACAAACAGAAAAATTGAGGGATGCAAAGGAAGCTTGAAAAACAAATTCAATTTATCAAGCACACCAAAATACGAAAGATTTTCGGGGACACCGAAACCCATCAGAAAATACAAAGTGTTTGCCCCTGCACTGAACAGCAGCAGAATGTCAACATTCATATCAAAACAGAAGCAATTTATCAGAATATGACCATTTTCTTTGGCAGTTACTTAATTCATCAATACATCTCTATTAATACACAAATCATTCATTTGATATCGTCACAATTTGGACCTTGACACAGAGCGGAAAGTGGAGTTGCTTGTAAAAATGAATTACCGTACTTTTCGGATTATACGTCGCTCCGGATTATAAATCGCACCAGCCAAAAAAATGCACAATTAAGAAGGAAAAAACATATATACGTCGCACTGGAGTATAAACCGCATTTTTTGGGGAAATTTATTTGATAAAATCCAACACTAAAAACATACATGTCATCTTGAAAGGCAATTTAATATAAAAATAAAATAGAGAACAAGAGACTGAATAAGTGTACGGTATACTAACGTTACATGACTGACATGCCTGGTAATGTCAGTAACGACGTAACATATTAAGAGTTATTCAGATAACTCTAGCATAAAGAACATGCTAACAAGTTTACCAAACTATCAGTTTCACTCCAAATCACTAAATCCAATGAAATCTTCATCCTCTGTGTTACTTTTAAACAACTCCCCCAACTCGGGAAGTAGAAGATGCGCCGCTTCCTCTTCTACGTCGCTTACGTCAGACTCATTTATCAACACAGGCCGAGAGCGTCCTCTTGTGGTTTAATGTGAAAATAACGTGAAATGACATAATCATGTGTTAGTAATTTCACACATAAGTCGCACCCCAGGCCAAACTATGAAAAAAAACTGTGATTTATAGTCCGGAAAATGTGGTATCTTTATTTGCCACAGTGTTATGAAGAGAAATGTTGTCACTAGTTTAATTGTCAATGGTTAATTTGCATATTTAGAAAAACTGCAGTCCATACATCAAATATGCAAATGTAATTTTTAGTATACACCGTCAGACGGCCAGCCACAAGTGACCCCTGGGCCATAGTTTGGACACCAATGAATTCAATGCACACCGATTTAAAAGACAACAAGCCCTACCGGCGCAAGAGATCAATTCGCTTTCATTTACAGTGTGTCAATTCACAACGGAAGTTATCTGAAGGCACTTCACATATTACGCAGGGGAGAACTGAAAGACAGTGACAAAGACAGAAAGCAAGTGCAACTATGAGATATGGGAAAGCCATACAAGGGAGCACACAATCAAACTAAACAAGAAGTAAAAAAAAAAAAAAAAATGTTTTTAAATCTTACATCTTGTGTAATGTAAGTGTGCACAGAAACACACACACTCACACACACGCATACACACGCACACACACACGCTCACATATGTCAAGTCAAACTGTTTTAGCTAACTGGCAGGAAGTCATAAAGCAGAAAAAAGAGATAGCACAATAAGCCTTGAGGTAATGTTTCTCCCCTAATCTCAGTCTTTGCAGAGTCCCCCATGATTCTGACAGCACCTTAATCCCAACTACTCAAGAAAGTTTGGGAAAACACCTCCCGCTATTGTTGGAAGTTTTCGCTCCCTTATGCACAAAAGCAGACGTGCACTTTGACGCCACTTCTGCGCACAATTCCACAGTGACAGCCGCACGCAAATTAATTTCTCAAGCTCTGCCAGCGTGCACTGAAGGTGGAGATTTTCCGCACGGGCAAATCCAGCTGCAAGCTTTCTGCCAGGTCCACTTTCTTAATCTGCTTGATTTCCAAGTCGCCCAGCACAGGTCCAGCTCGCCTCTGAGCTGACAGGCGAGGATGTGTGAAACATCGAGGAGGGGCTATGTTCTGGTCCACGCTAGACTGACATAAAATAAATTCACCTTTCTTTTACCTCTGTGGTGAGGAAAGACGTCATAATAAATCCTGAACCACTTCAGTCATCCAAGCAGCTTTAACAGCATGATGCCGCTAATCAGCGAGGAGCAACTTGACCGAAGGTTCAGGTAGTAGCATAGCATGCCTTACAACCGCCAACACGATGGCTCCCATGTGGCAGCGTCAGAAGTGCTAATGACTCCTCCGCAGTCCATTTGCGCCCCAGGTGAGCTCTGTGCTGCTTGAAACACACTGTGAATGGACTTTTTCTTCATTTGAATTACTGTTTTAGGACTGATTTGTAATTATCCGTCACATGTCAAGGTTTAATGGTTTAATTTGTGACCACGCTGCGGCTGCAGCTGCAGCACTTCGTGAAAAGGACAGTTCACACCCACGTTTACTGGCCATGTTAGGTACACGTTCACAATTTAATCAGCTGCATCAAATAATTAAGAAAACTTTTTTTTTTTGTTTTCTCATTAGGTGGTGCCATGAGATATGAATGGCCCAATTTATGAGGATAAGTTTCAGACACCAGCTTTTTAATGCCACTCCTAGTTGGAGTGTTCTGTCAAACTAAAGATGAACACAAAGTTGTGTGTCATTTTTTTTAACACACACAACTTTGCCTTCCTGTAGTTTAATGCAAATACACAAAGCAAAACAAGGCCATGAACGGACTAACAAATAGGTTTGATGGTTGTCGTGTTATATCCCTTTTAGGATATTTGAACACCAATGGTGCATCAGCACATGTAAGCAAACAGTTATTATTAATGCAGTTTATGGCGTCACTTACAGTAGTAAAAGTCTTCTTTGTTTGTGTCTTCATGATGGAATTATGCGGCTTGACCTCAGTGGCGTAGTCACACCCAGAATGATGACCAACCCGTTTAAATCCTCACATTAAATTTAATGGTGTCAGGACTTTGTTTTTTTTTTGAATGTACAATATTATAGACTGTTGTTTTTCTCATTCATAAACATGACACACTTTTTTGGGGGCGGAGGGTGGAACGGATTGATGGCATTGTCATTTATTTCAAAGGGAAAAGAAGATTTGAGGTATGACCGTAATCGCAGAATGAATTTAACTGGCATTTCAAGGCACCGCTGTATGTCAACTTACTTTGCAGTGGTTTATGTTGAGATAACAGATAGCATGGTGATATTTTAATTTTTCTACAACTTTTCTAATCTTTTTTTTTTTGTGTGTGTGTAACAACAAATGAATTCAATCCCCCGTTCCAGTGACTCCTTGCGAAATCAGAATGCAACTCAACCGCATACAACTTAAGCGCACGTACTTGTGTCCATATTTACATTTTCAGGTGTGAGAAGCTGCGCTGTACGAGAAGTTGAGTGGCCGATGTGGGTCATTTGAAATGCCGCCTAGCAATTACGAAGCCCAGCCACGCATCATCACAGCCAGAGTCCCTTAAAGCCTGTATAGATTACACCCATTTGCAGAATGCACCAAGCATAACTGCATAGAGCCTCAGGAAAAAAAATCTCTCCCAATAATTGAGCGCATGGCAGGGTAAATGTCAAATCATTTGCAGGCCATTCGGAGACAAAGTATTCTTCTCTATTAGCCTAATATGCGGGAGTTACTCCTCCCGGCTTTGTGCAAATTCATATTGGATTTTTTCTTAAAATTCCAAC